GTGCAAAGTCCCAGCTGTGGACTTTAACTTTGTGCCAGGGCCTGAGTTTTGCATGTACATCGGTTTTACTGGCTTATTTATATGCAGCTGGTTGTTCCTTGCCGCTCGGGCAGATGCACTCTGACTTCAAGGAAGCTCCCAGTTAGTCGCCTCTTACGACATGCTTTTCTTGGTAGGCGGTGGCGTCCCGGAACCAACACGAGGAATCCATATATTTAGAACTCGTTTATATTGTAAAGTTTTCTTAGATTTGCGGTTTTAATTAAAAACGGTATGTGTCTTAGGGTTTTATGTACATTTGGGTAAAGTCCAAATCCGATGCTGACTTTTTTTTTGTTTTGTTGTTGTTGCTTAAACCAAGTAAGCCTCGCATATTAGAAAAACCAGCACAAGACAATTACCATATTTTGTTCAGACCAGAGCAAGTTATTATTCTACGCCTTAGAACAGGACGCAATCGAATTCGCAGCCACATGTGAACAAAATTTAAAATCAGTCGTGTGCACATGTGGATTGGCACCAGAGACAACAGATCATGCCCTTCAAGACTGTCCAAAATTTAACATATCAAGGCAAAACTTTTTACGAAGAGAAACATCGGTGCAAGTGAAACTTTACGGGCCGCTTAGTGAATTACAAAAGACAGTACAGTTTATACTAGAGACAACATTAAAGATATATATAGATAATCTATTTCAAGCGAACGAAAGAAGAAGAAGATTATGTTAGAAAGAAAGAAAAAAATATATATATTTCATAATAACATTTAAATAAAATACATATTCCTATGTTTTAGGTAATCAAAGCGGAACAACCATACCCAGGTTCCAGTCATCTAGAATGGAAGGGAGAATACCACACTGTTATCATCGATCGACACGTCAACTGTCGGGTCCAGTGCACTTTGACCCCAGACAAATGCGGACCTAAAAAACAGTTTCAAGAGAGACAATGCGACTGCGTATGTCGTGACTACCAAAGATGTACACCGCCCAAAGTCTGGGATCCAGAAGAGTGCGAGTGCAAATGTGCCGAAATTCTCCAGTGTTGTAAAGCTGGCGAAGTGTGCGGGCTGACGTTTATGAGGGATGTCTGCGAGTAAGTGCAATTTTTTGTTATTTGAAGCCCTACTCTAGCTCTTGCCAGGGGACGCAATATAGCCTGACCATAAATATGGTCTAATGGCTAAACACGGTTTCTGGGACCTCTCCACGGGTGATCCTCATCCACATGGTGGCACTTTGTGTCATCGGGTGTTTATCGCTTGTGTGATGTCCTGGTGGGGTAAACAAAAATATAGATAAATAGAGGTAAGTATTCATTTTCTAAGACGCTGTGGTGTTGATTAGGGCTCTATAATTGGTCCAAGAAGGCACATAGGAGGAAGGCAACTGGAACACGCAGGATGCGTCACCCAAAAGTTGTCTTCATGAAATTTAGAAATAGTTTTCCGCGAAGGAATTGTGTTCAAGCCACACACACACACAAGATTGTAGCTCCCGATTCATCGGTCGTTGCCACTAAATAAAGTATGGTCAAGGAAAAAGAAAAAGTGAAACACTAGAGAAACAGACAATTTAAAAGACACAGACACTGCAAAAGCCGACTTTGGCTGTGGAGACGGCACCTGATTGATCAATTGACTGATTGACTGAAAGACAACATAAAATCATTGCCTTCAGTTCTATCTGAATCATTGTGCAGTAACTTGATCTGTAGCTGCTCAAAGTCGGCGTCTGTGGCTTAAGTGTTGCGAACGCGCTTCATAATGCCGGGGTGTTGGGTTCGATCCCAGCTGAGGGCCTTGCGTTGCTTTCGACCGTGGTATCGAAAAGCCGATCGTCCAGAAAGCAATAGCAAACTACTGGATGCAAATTTGCCTAATAAAATCACAACAGCCAGAAAATGCTAGTGTTGGTCCTGCAACGTCCTGTGCAGGATACGCAACTAACTTTAACCTGCTCAACACCTCCATACCTTCATCAACCCATTTCGTGCATTATCATCTGGAGACAGCACCAAGGATTAACACCTGCTGGATTGGAATCCTACAGAACAAATCCCGATAAGCGCCCTATGTAGACTCCGGACGGTTACGACGTAACCTGAAGTAGAGAATAACCTATGTCAATGATCGATCGATTGTCCGCTCCGGGCTGCTACCTAAAGGTTTACCACACCATTATGAGATTTACAGATCTCAGTCTGGACAGCAGACCAAGATGACAGATCCCAGATACCCGGTTCAGCCCTCACAGAAATTCTACTTAGCGCACCCGTAATGGCCAGTCTAGCCCGGTGTAACCTGGAGATCTATACGGGTAAGTAGGGCTGCCAATGGGATTTTTATCAAAACCCAAGCTAAGCTGACAAAAAATCCCAAGCAATACATAAGCAAAAAAAAAAAAAAATCCCAAGAATGAATTCAAGTAGTACACATTTTATAGTTACGAAACGAAACATTTACCAACTTTTATATAAGGATATATTTTTAAAACCCAAGATTCCAAAATCTGAACCCAGACATTAAAAACCCAGTTCTTGTGGGAAAACCCAAGTATTGGCAGCCCTGCGGGTTTGTTTGTTTGTTTGTTTTAATATCCTGAAGCCATGAATTGTTAACCCTTAGGCCCTGTATTATGAAAATCGTAACCTTTCGGCCTTGATTCCATTGTAAATACCGTAAATCTGGGAGAAAATGTGGCTTTCCTACATACCCCCGGGAGTGAACCCGGACCACAAGGAGTTCGACACCCGGTCTCCGCGCAATCCGGTTTAGCCAACTACGCTAGAGAGCCGGGCAAGGCAGCCCTGCTAAGGACCTGCTCTCACGTCTTTAACTGGACTCGTTTTGTGTGAGGAGAGTTTGAAATCGAGCCGGTGGCGCGAGCGTCGGGGGGAGACAGAGAGAGAGAGAGAGAGAGGGAGAGAGAGAGAGAGAGAGAGAGAGAGAGAGAGAGAGAGAGAGAGAGAGAGAGAGAGAGAGAGAGAGAGAGATAAATAGAAAGGGGGCGGTGTTAATGTTTACTAAGCGAAAGGGAGAACTTTAAAAGCTAGTGTGGGTGGGTGTGTGTGTGTGTGGTGTGCGCGCGCGCGCGTCATGTAACCGTTTTACAAGTTAGAGAATATTTGACCCTCGTTTGCTAGCGACCGCTTTAGGGGGAAAAAAGTCCATTACTGTCGATTTCAATGGCGGAAGATATGACAGCAGACCGCCTTGTACTAATTTCGACAAGGGATATTGAGAGCCGACCGTACAGTCGGTGGCACACTGCTAGAGAACGTGAAATTGGCCAGGAAAACTAAAAAACTGCCAACAAATACTGGGGATGGTTCTGCAGAATTCTGTAAGGTAGGGCTATTCAGCTGGCGGCCCGCTGAGCAGATTTGGCCCGCTGAGGTTTAGCAAATGGCCAACGGATGAGTGGCAGTTCTAATGTATGAATTTCCCTTTCCATTGTGTGGCCCAGGCCCATTTTCAAAAAGATGGTTTCTGAGTGAACTGACGAATTCTGCTGATGTGAAAGGTACGCAGTTAACGAGCCTTTGAGTGGCTGCTGCATGGGAGGACTGAGCATCCATGTGAAAGCTCAGTGTGCTCGTGACATCGATTGTGATAACATTCTTTTTCTGCCTTTCAAACTCCCAATGAGAGCAAAGGCCCTCAACAAACTCACGTCAGGTCGTTCTAGCCTTCGCTATTGCATGCAGCTCTTCCCTATATCATCCCCATTGTTTTAACTTCACTCTCCAGCTACTTTCTCCGTGCTTTTTTGTCTTTCTTTCTTTTTTTTTTTTATATATGCCCCTGTGGGTCCAAAGATATTCTAGTTATATTGTTCTCAGGTTTTCCCAACGTGTTTCCTATCCAACGCCAGCGTCTTTTCCTCACCTCTTGGTGCGCTGGAACTTGTTTAGTTCTCTTCTAAAGTTCTATATTTGTGATTCTATCATACCATTTAATTCCGTCTGTTCTGCTGAGGCACCAGTTAATGCATGTATGTAGTTAATTAGTCCCCGCGTTAGAAGTTCTCCATCTTTCCGCTCCATCCATACAACAGTACTGATTTGACATTAGAATTAAAATGTTTAGGTTGACTGTGATAACATAATGGACCTAGTGATTTGACATTAGAACTAAAATGTTTGAGTTGATTGGGATAACATAACATAATGGAACCTAGTGATTTGACAATAGAATTAAAATGTTTAGGTTGACTGGGATAACATATTGGACCTAGTGATTTGACAATAGAATTAAAATGTTTAAGTTGACTGGGATAACACAACATAATGGAACCTAGCATACTTGTCTTTACGGTATTGTCGTGTCTTCTTTTTCAGATGTGGGATCGACCCTATGATGGAACAAATCAGGAACAACGGTAACCTCACCCAGGAGATGATCGATGCTTACTACCTATTACAGAACAGCAGCGCTTCAGCATCCTCCAACACACCTACGTCGGCATCGGCGACAACAGCAACATCAACGACAGATACACCCACAACAACTACACCAACCGTCACCACCACCACCACTACCACGACAGATACCACGACTACAGCAACGACAAATGCAAATACGGTCATCGGAGCCTTGGATCCCTGCCGTACTGTTGTATGTCCAGGAAACTTCGTCAGGGCTCTCAACGCTGAGGGAAACTGTGTTTGCCGTCTAAGAAGAGGGCGTAGAACTGAACACTCGCCGTGAGTAAAACTACCTACACCATCTATACGTTGTGGTGGTGACGGGTTTAAACCCTGATTGACAATGCTCGTATCCGTGCTACAGTAGACTACTGCCAGTTCTAGCCTCTGAGCCTGGTTTCATGTATGAGCACTGCAGTTTTTACAAACCATGTTGAACAGATAGTGACTTTACCAACAACATCAAAGGATTCTTCTAAACAATAAATTATTACAGTATTAAGTATATACGTTCTAACAAGTTTTATTTTTAAAGGACGTCGCACACCAGCGCCAGTTTTTTGTGGCTGTTGTTTTTGTTTCTAGTCAACTTTACGTTAAGTAGATTACCCATTGCTCCAGGTAAACCTCTGATTGACTCTACACTCAGTAATTACAGATCTGTAAATACATATTAACTCTATGTACAGTGAAATTCTCTATGCTTGTCTTGAAAGTTCTATACATATTTCTTAACGTTTGTTCCATTCTTCTTCTTCTTCTGCCTTTTTATCCCCCAATGGAGCATAGGCCCTCAACCAACTCACGCCAAGTCGTTCTATCCTTCGCCATTACATGGAGCTCTCCCCATGTCCTCCCAATCTTTCTAACCTCATTCTCCAGCTCTCTTCTCCATGTGTTTTTTGGCCTTCCTTTATTCCTATGCCCCTGTGGGTTCCAATGCAAAGACATTCTAGTTATGCTGTTCTCCTGTTTTCTCAGTGTGTGCCCTATCCAACGCCAGCGTCTTTTCCTCACCTCCTGATCCACTGGAGCCTGTTTAGTTCTCTCCCAAAGTTCTACATTAGTTATTCTATCATACCATTTTATTCCCTCTATTCTGCGCAGGCACCAGTTAATGAATGTCTGTAATTTATTAGTAATTGCCTTCGTTGTTCTCCATGTTTCCGCCCCATACAATAGTACTGATTTGACATTAGAATTAAAAATTTTTAGTTTCGTATTTCTTTTAATTTCTTTTGACCTCCACAAATTCCCTAGTGCTATGAAAGCCCCTCTTGCCTTTTGTATTCTTATTTTAATATCTCTATCAGTTCCTCCATCTTTATCTACATTACTGCCCAAATAGGTGTACGACTCCACGTCTTGGAGTGGGGTGCCATCAAGAGAAACCACATTACTATTTGCCTGATTTATTCTCATTATCTTTGTCTTTCCTTTATGGATTTTCAGACCAAGCTGCTGTGATCTCGCATTAAGTATATTTAATTTATCTTGTATCTGATTCCGTGAATGGGACAGAAGGGCAATATCATCAGCGAAGTCCAGATCATCAAGCTGTTTTGTAGGGGTCCACTGAATTCCATTCTTGGTGTTAGCAGTTACTGTTTTCATAGTCCAGTCTATAGCCAGTAAAAATAGGAGAGGCGACAAAAGACATCCCTGTCGCACACCTGTTTTTATTTCAAATGCATCTGTTAGCTTTCCCTCATGAAGAACTCGACATTTCATGTCTTTATATGTTGCCTTTACTAAGTTGATAATTTTCTGTGGGATTCCATAGTGCCCCATCAATTTCCAGAGAGATTCCCTATCAATGCTGTCAAATGCTTTTTCATAGTCTATAAATCCAATGTAAAGTGGTGAGTTCAGTTCAATGCTTTTTGTTCCATTCTACTTTCAAGTTTTTTTCTTCTATACTAACCCAGTTGCCACTGTCACTCATTTTGCTCCATAACGTATTGTTTTAACTCACAAAACTGAGGAATTATCCACCCAAACTACAAGAAACTGCGATTCAGTCGAGCTGACACCAAGAGGTAAATCAACACAACAAAGTCTATGACGAAATTTAAACTTCAAGAAAGGGAAAGGAAAATACTCCCACATCTATGACTGAACCTTTCAACGAAAGTCCTTATCAGCTAATAAAACAAGAATTCTGGACTTCCTAGTCGTAACTGTACTGTATTAATTTAACTGTCGGATAAAGTCTTCAAGTCCGAAGGATCCGCTTCGCTGCATCCGGTTTCATCAATCAGAACGGCTTGGTATCTACCAAAACCAAAACACAACTTCATAGATCCAGCGATGATCCTCACTTGTGAAACGAACCTTTCAGTTGGCGAGGCAGGCAACATAACCACCTAACCACAGAAACCTCCGTTATAAGATAAAACACTTACCTAGGGCTGAAAGAGTTAACTGTTTAGTTCCACACGCTTCAGCTTGTGTTTCTGCACAAAGACAGAACCATCGTAAAGCAGGCCCAGGGCAAAGCAGTGCACCGAGTTTGCTGGAAACAGATTAAAGGAGTTTGCAATGAATCTTGTGTAGAAGTTCTTGGTAAAATTAAGCGGAAGCGTAAGGCGTAGAAAACTGAAGAAAAGCAGCACTAAGCAATGACAAAATTAGAACTGCTAACGCTTTAGTGAAAAATAGACAGAAGCTAAAAAGCAAGTTAGGAGACGAATAAGGGCGGATGTGAAACATTTAGATGACATAGTACAGGAAGCAGAAACAGCAGCAGCGAAAGAAAGATTCATAGACCTTTCAATAAAACACGGAAATTAGTGGTGGGGATTGGGGGGGGGGGGAGATAGTCAGCCAACTGGATTAATTAGAAGTAATCAAGGAAGCTGAAATATTTTGGTAATTTCAAGCACTATAGCCTACTGGGGAGAAAATAGCAAAAGGCATGGTTCTGGGATGGAGGCGCAGAGGCCGATCCATACGAAAATGGGCACACAATGCCAGTGACTCCTTCAATTTGAAGGTACCGAGTTTCTTTCACGCAGACGGTGATGAAAACAACGTTCTGCAAAGGACCTGCTACATGATGATGAGTAAAGGGTCAGTTCCCCCAACACTAGAGACCAAACTGGCACATGGGCTGAATACTTTGAAGATCTTCTGAATGGGTCAGTCATAGAGGTCACTTTAGAAATGAATCCCAATATCAACTGTGAGATATTATCTAAAGAGAAAACTAAGAAAGCTATAAACCTCCTGAATGAAGAGAAGGTATCACGTCCTTTTTGTTTTTTTCGGAAAGGTTATTAAGCTCAGCTTCTTCGGAATTATTACACAGATTGTTTAGTCAAGTCTTGGAGACCGAGGAAATGCAATAGATTGAAGAGAAGGATACCTGGTAAAATTCCACAAAAACAAAAAAAAAACAAAAAAAAAGCAAAACAACAGTGACCTTCAGTGTGAAAATTATAGAGGTATTCGATTACTGTCAGTTCCTGGCAACAAAAATTTATAAGCAGGATTATTTTGGACAGACTCAGAAATCTCACTAGTAAACAGCTGATGGGCGATCGGGCAGGTTTTCATCCAAGCAGATCTTATACCGACCAGATAGTCACATTTTACATAATAAAGCAAAGTGTTGAATTCACCATTTTACAATGGATTTGTGGATTGTGGAAAAAGTCTTTGAGAGCATTGACAGGGAATCTGGGAATTGATGAGCCACTTTGGGATCCCATAGAAAATTATTAAGGTTATGAAGGTGACATTTACAGACATGAAATGTCGAGTTCTTCATGAGGGACAGCTAACAGATACATTTGAAACAAGAACATGTGTGCGACATGGATGTCTGCTGTCATCTCCGTTATTCCTACTGGCGATAGACTGGATAAATAAGAGAGCAATAACAACCACCACGTATGACATTTAGCGGAGGAGCATTAACTATCACCAAGTATGGCATTTAGCGGAAGAGCAATAACTATCACCAAGTATGACATTTAGCGGAAGAGCAATAACTATCACCAAGTATGGAATTTAGCGGAAGAGCACTAACTATCACCAAGTATGGCATTTAGCGGAAGAGCAATAACTATCACCAAGTATGGCATTTAGCGGAAGAGCAATAACTATCACCAAGTATGGCATTTAGCGGAAGAGCAATAACTATCACCAAGTATGGCATTTAGCGGAAGAGCAATAACTATCACCAAGTATGGCATTTAGCGGAAGAGCAATAACTATCACCAAGTATGGCATTTAGCGGAAGAGCAATAACTATCACCAAGTATGACATTTAGCGGAAGAGCAATAACAACCACCAGGTATGACATTTAGCGGAAGAGCAATAACAACCACCAGGTATGACATTTAGCGGAAGAGCAATAACAACCACCAGGTATGACATTTAGCGGAAGAGCAATAACAACCATCAGGTATGACATTAAGCGGAAGAGCAATAACAACCATCAGGTATGACATTAAGCGGACCCTACAGAAAAGCTTAACTCTTTGAGTCCCCGGGGGTTTAGCATCAGAGCCCAAGGGGTGGTCAAGAGAGATGTAAAATCGGCGCATCTTACATTCATAAGGTTTCTAGGTAGGAACCTAAGAACGTATGATGAATTCCTTAGAACTAAATGAGGTAATGACCTGAAGTTTATTCCTATCCAACTCGTGAAATCAGATGCAAGATAAATTAAACCTACTTGATGAGAGAACGCAATAGTAAAAGTAAAGTAAAGATCCCTTTTCACGCCTTTCGGCGCATCGGGCATATGGGCAGAGCGTCCCATGTTTTTACAGACCATCAGCACTATGGGTAATGTGGTCAGCATTACGCCGGCTGTCTTTACTTTCCCAGGACAGCCCATCCTGGTACCCATTTGAGGCTGGGTCGACCTGCGACGTCCCCATACCACGACACAAATCCACGCAAAAATAAAGGCAGACCATTAATCACACTGATAAGGGAGCTAGAGAGTAGAGTGAAAAGATAGAGAGGACATGAGGTGAGCTACAGGCAATAGTGAAGAGAGGACATGAGGTGAGCTACAGGCAATAGCCAAGAGAGGACATGAGGTGAGCTACAGGCAATAGCCAAGAGAGGACATGAGGTGAGCTACAGGCAATAGCCAAGAGAGGACATGAGGTGAGCTACAGGCAATAGCCAAGAGAGGACATGAGGTGAGCTACAGGCAATAGCCAAGAGAGGACATGAGGTGAGCTACAGGCAATAGCGAAGAGAGGACATGAGGTGAGCTACAGGCAATAGCGAAGAGAGGACATGAGGTGAGCTACAGGCAA